CTGTATCTTTTTTTTTAATGTTTTATTTAGTTTTGAGAGAGATAGAGACAGCGTGAGCAGGGGAGGGTCAGAGAGAGAGACACACACAGAATCTGAAGCAGGCTCCAGGCTCTGAGCTGTCAGCACAGAGCCAGACACAGGGCTCAAACCCATGAACCATGAGATCATGACCTGAGCCGAAGTTGGACGCTTAACCGACTTAGCCACCCAGGAGCCCCCACCCTGTCTGTATCTGAGCTGCCTTCCTGCCAGGTACAGTACTTGTGTGTTTTATATCAGGGATGCAGCTGGGTTTTAAAACTTCAAATTTTAGGGACCTGCATGATTCAGACCTGCACTGATCCCCTGGGGGAGGGTCTCACTGCACTTGTGCCATTTGCTGGTTTGTCTCATAAAAGTTCTTGGACGGCTTTGCAGTAGTTTGGAGCTTGTGGTAAAGTGCAGCACATAGCCAGTACCTGGTTTTGCTCCCCTCAGCCAGTATCTTTGTTCCTATGCTAGAGATCAGGGCAGCACATTGACGCTGCTAATTCTTTTATCCCTGGAGAGGCCATGCCACCACTCTCAAATGCACTCCAAGAAGGAGAATTGTTTCTACCCATGTGACCAACAGGATCTTCAGACCATGCTGCCTGCTTCCAGGTCTCCAACCTCCCTAATCGGCAGTCAGCTGATTTCCTTTTCTTAGTGATTTGGGAGAAGTATTTTACTTGTGCAGTCCCCTGCCTGCTGCTTCACTCTTGCCCTCACTCTCTTGCTCCTCTCTCTCTAATCAGGGCTCCCTCCCTTCCATAGCACCTGCAGTTCTATTCTCCCTCAAATCAACCTCTGCAGATCCAACCTTCCATGAGATAGTTGTTTTTCTACCTGTAGATGTGCAGTTTTGTTCTCTCAGCCCTCAGATCAGGTTCTTCATTGTTTGGAATGATTTGATATTTATGTAGCTGTGTTTGAGGGACAAGGCAAGTTTAGGGTCCCCCTGCTTCTCCACCATCTTGACTTCTTTTCCAAGAGATTTTAATAGTTGATTTAAATAATTTAAGTTTTAATTTTAATTCCAGTTAGTTAACAAACAGTGTTATATTAGTTTAAGGTGTACCATATAGTGATTCAACAATTCCATCCATCACACATCACATCATGACATGTGTACTCCTTAATCCCTGTCACCTATTTAATCCATCCCCCCAACCACCTCCCCTCTATATAGTTAAGAGCCTGTTTCTAGGCTTGTATCTTTCTATTTTTTTCCTTTATTCATTTGTTTTGTTTCTTAAATTCCACATATGAGTGAAATATGAGTGAAATTCCACATATGAGACAAATATGATATTTGTCTTTCTCTGACTGACTTATTTTGCTTAGCATTATAATGTCTGGCTCCATCTATGTGGTTGCAAATGACAAGATTTTATTCCTTTTTATGGCTGAGTAATAGTCCATTATAAATATATACCACATCTTCTTTATGTATTCATCAATTGATGGACAGTGGAGCTGCTTCCATATCTTGCCTACTGTAAATAATGGTGCTATAAACATACTGGTGCATGTAACCCTTTGAATTATTGTTTTTGTATTCTTTGAGTAAATACCCAGTAGTGCAATTACTGGTTCATAGGGTACTTTTATTTTTAACTTTTTGAGTAACCTGTGTACTGTCCACAGTGGCTACATCAGTTCCCACCAACAGTAAAAGAGGTTTCCTTTTGCTCCACATCCTCGTCAACATCTGTTGTTTCTCATGTTGATTTTAGCCATTCTGACCGGTATGAGGTGATATTTCATTATAGTTTTGATTTGCATTTCCCTGATGATAAGTGATGATGTGCATCTTTTCATGTGTCTTTTGGCCATATGTATGTCTTCTTTGGAGAAATGTATGTTCATGTCTTCTGCCCATTTTGTAATTGGATTGGTTTTTAGGTGTTGAATTTGATAAGTTCTTTACAGATTTTGGATACTAACATTTTATCAGATATATCCTTACAAATATCTTCTCCCATTCCAGAGTTTGCCTTTTAATTCTGTTGATTGTTTCCTTCACTGTTCAGAAACTTTCTATTTTGGTGTAGTCCCAATAGCTTATTGTTCCTTTGATTTCCCTTGCTTTAGGAGACCTATCTAAAATAAAAGTTGCTATGACCAATGTCAGTGAAGTTACTGCCTGTGTTCTCTTCTAGGATTTTTATGGTTTCATGTCTCAGATTTAAGTCTTTAATCCATTTTGAATTTAATTTTTTGTATGTTGTAAGAAAGTGGTCCAATTTCCTCCTTTTGCATGTAATTGTCCAGTGTTCTCAATACCATTTGTTGAGGAGGCTGTCTTCTTTCCATTGTATATATCTTCTTGCTTTGTTAAAGATTTATCGACAATGTTTTTCCATTTCTTTGTGTCATCCTCAATTTCTTTCAACAGTGTTTTATAATTTTTAGAGTACAGGTCTTTTACCTCTTTGGTTAAGTTTATTCCTAGGTATCCATTATTTTCATGAAATTGTAAATGGAATTGTTGTCTTAATTTCTCTTTCTGCTGCTTCATTATTTGTGTATAGAACTACAGCAGTTTTTTTGTAGATTGATTTTGTATCCTGCAACTTTATAGGACTTTTTATCAGTTCTAGCATTTAATTTTTTTGGTGGACTCTTTCCGGGTTTTCTATATATAATATCATGTCATGTGCATATTGTGAACATTTTACTTCTTCCTTACCAGTTTGGATGCCTTTTCTTTCTTTTTGTTGTCTAATTGCTGTGGCTAGAACTTCTAGTACTATGTTGAATGAAAGTGGTGAGAGTGGACATTCTTGTTAATGGCTTTTGGGGGAAAACTCCCAGGTTTTCTCCATTGAGGATATTATCTGTGGGTTTTTCATAAATGGCCTTCATTATGTTGAGATATGTTCCCTACAAATCTGCTTTGTTGAGGATTTTTATCATGAATGCATGTTGTATTTTGTCAAATGCTTTTTCTGCATCTATTGAAATGATGATATGCTTATTATCCTTTCTCTTATTGATGTAGATTTTTTTTATTTTGGTTACAAGTCATAACTTGAAAAGAATTCAGAAGAGAATGTTCATAGCTAACTTTGATTTTGTAACCCTAACCCTGGGAGAGGATTTTTCTGAATGATTATTATCTACTTGAAATGTGTTGTTGTTTTATCTCATTTATCTATTTATCTATTTATCTGCTCATTTATCTATTACCGTGTGAAATTACCCTTATTACCGTGTTTCCATTGTATTAGGTCAAATGCCCTTACGGGCCCACATATTTGAGATAGTATGAGTAAATGTGCAGTGTAGCCCACACTTGAGAATAGGAATGTGCACTATCACCTTGTAACTCTTTTCCTCTGTTTCTGCAGTCCCCCTTTAGATAGAATGTGTTAAACATCATCTCTGTATATAAATATTACACTGCCTCTGTTGGGTGAAATTTGCATCTGTGGCTTTTTTTCCCCAAACTTTGGTGTTCAGTCTCATCTGGCTACTTTGCCTTATTGGAGAGTTGAGAACTCCTTAAGTCTTGAGAATGAGGGTGGAGGACTCTGCTTCATTCTAGACCCAGACAGTGGAAATAGGACAGAAGAGTGTGATATCAGGACATGTGGCTGCTTGAGAGTGCTGGTTGGAGGTTGTGGGGGATATTGCAACTTTCTTTTAAGGGGATAAGAAACAAACTGAAGACTTCTAACTCTGGAGCATTTCAGAGAGTTAGATGAGATGGAGAGATATACGTTTGCCACAGGTCAAGGGTACCCCCACGAATCATCTAGTTTCCCGGTATTTTTATAATTGGAAATTGGACCCCATGACACTTACAGTCTCTTCCCTTTTTCATGTATTGCAGGATCTCCCTTTTTCTCCTTGATGCTTACATACTTCAGGCCCTTTAGTCAAACACTTGCCTATGGCATTATTTTAGTTACCAGTTCTCACTGTTCCTCTGGTCATACAGCCTTGGGATAAAAACTCACAGAACTCTGGGATGGGGCTTTGTTGGAACATGTGACTTCTAATTGCACTTTTGCTTGTGGCTCCTCAAAAAGAGTAAAGAGTGGGTTGGCAGTAATGCAGTGTGGAAGTATTCCCATTTCTCAGTGACCAGGTTCTGAATATATCCAAATGGATTTTATATTATAATGTTACTGTAGTTCTTTGTTTTGAGATAAAAATTTAAATGTAAAAAAAAAAGTAGAACAGGTAGAATCATAAAAACTATGTGTCTACCTCATGATATGGTCATTAGTATAAGATAAAGTTTTTAAAAATGGTTCAAATTGGTTAATTGCACATTGAACAAGAGGATTGCTGGGAAGTATTGTGGAATGTGTATCTCTTAGGAATTTTTTTCATGAGTTAAGGGGGTCTTAGGAGCTTTCCCCTAACATTGTCAATTGTATTTACTCACACAAGCAAATATTCAGTGTTGCTAAGAGCTATACTACCCACTATACTCAGTTCACACTGTTAATGTTCTAAAGAATTTTACTGAAATGGGATTAACCTCCCATTGCATGCTGCGTGATTTTTTCCATTGTCTTTAAAGTATAGTGTGAAAGACAGATTTATGGTCTTAGTATACACAGATTCAGATTTCTCTGTGTTCAGGATCAAATTTACTGAGAATTAGGTCCCATGTTTACAGCTCTTTTCTGAAAATCCATAATAAAAACACTCAATATGGAGGATAAAAGCTGACTTTCATGTTCTTTAGAATAACTACATAGTTTGTAACTCTGAAATCAGCAAAATTGAAATCCTAATTTTAGGACTATGACTTGTTTACCTGTAATATCACAATTTCTTTTATTCATACAAGAAAAAAAATGAGTGTTTTCTTAGTAGTAACTAAAATGTATCTGTTGGTAGCTAAGTAGGATTATGTGTGACTTGAAAATTGTGATTTTATTTAAATAGAGTTAAGCTTTGTTCCTTTTGTTTTATACAGCTCTAGATCAATAACCAAAATTCATGCCTTTCTTCTAAAGGGATATAACAGAAGTATCTCTCGAACAGAAACGATAATACGCTTTGCTTTCCAAGCCTCTATCACAGTTCTGTGCATTGCATGCCCCTGTTCACTGGGACTAGCCACTCCAACTGCTGTGATGGTGGGTACAGGAGTAGGTGCTCAAAATGGCATATTAATCAAAGGCGGCGAGCCATTGGAGATGGCTCATAAGGTAAGACAGTTCCCAGAACTAAGAATTGTCCCATCCAAACTGGCAATAGCACCCCTATTGAGACACAGAATCCTAAATTATTTCCACATGGTCCATAAGCTGAGTCTCTTCTGAGACTATCCTGAGGGTTGAGATAGGAAAGATGTTATTTTTGGTTCTGTTCTAGATTGACCTTAGTTCTATGCAATCTCAAAAACTACTCTAGACCTACTGTCATAGAGCAGACCATGATGTAGAAAACTTGGAGAACTTTTCCAGCTCAGACCGGAAATGTCTTTAGGACAGGAAAACTGAAGGGGTATTTGCCCAGGAAAATTTGCCCAGGTCTATTATGCTATTTTTGTATGTGACTCCATGTTTGTGTTCTTCACTGTGAGATAGTTCTTATAGTTATATTGCAGTTTCTTTGCCTTTGCCATTAGTTGATAGTTTGCAGCCATGCCTTAAGGAATATAATCTTATCCCTCATCTCTATCATATTAGGATTTCCATAACAATTTCAATCAAGGCTACTTGACTTAAACTAAAGCAGTGTTCCTTCTAAGATGTTCTTATTATACAGGTGCATATAGGTAGTAAACACAGAACACAGCTTAGAACAGATTTGGAACCTCACCTAACTAGTCAATACAGTCTATTAGTTTTTATAGTAATTTTTTATTTACTTTGATATAATTTCAAATTGAAAGAAGAATAGAAAGAATAGTATAAAGAACCCCTGTATACCCTTCACTGCAGATATCAGACTCCTTTCCTAAGAATAAGGACATTCTCTTAAATAATCACAGTACAGAGATCAAAATCAAGAAATTAGCATTGATATAATACTATTATCTAACCTATAGTCCATCTTCCAGTTTCCTCAGTTGTTTCTATAATAACCTTTATAGCTATTTTTTCTCTGGTTCAGAATTACGTTTTGAATTTAGTTGTCATATCTCTTTTCATCTTGATTCCTCAAGCTATTCATTTTTCAAGGTTCATATTCCAAGGTTACTGTGGGGTGACTGTGTCCAGATTCTTCCTTTTCCCTGTCTGGGCTGTTTCCCTCATTGGTTCCCTGAGGTGTCTATTCCCAGACCAGGTTTCTCATCTGGACCCAATAGAGTCAAAGCAAACCAGCAGGTCTTATCTGGTGCTCATTTCCAACTTAATTACTTACCTTTCTCTTATAATTATATGACTACTGCCCAGATTGTCACTACAGTTCTAGAATTCTTTAGTATTGAAAGCATTTCTTTCCTTGCAGGCACAGAGTTATTTCTTTATTACTTATTAACAGTCAACTCTTAACAATTATTTCTAGTTGTTTAGCATATAGTCACAGTATGGTTGAATATTTGCACGGGAGGGCTATTAGATGTTAACTAAGAGTATTTTTTCCCTTATTATTCCTTAGTTTTGTTCACCTAAAGAGACTTTAACTCCAGTTAAGTCAAATGTCAATATATTAAGAAACAAAATATTTATCTGTCACAGTAAACCTTTTTCTCATTTCTGGAAAGGTGACATTAAGGATTATTAAGTCATATAGTTGCAGTGTATTGTAATTTTCTTACAGGTAAAGGTAGTGGTATTTGATAAGACTGGAACCATTACCCATGGAACCCCTGTAGTGAATCAAGTAAAGGTTCTAGTGGAAAGTAACAGATTATCACGCAGTAAGATCCTGGCCATTGTGGGAACTGCTGAAAGTAACAGTGAACACCCTCTAGGAGCAGCTATAACGAAGTACTGCAAGCAGGTACAATTTTTCTTTTGTTGATTAATGTAGTAGTTTTCTACAGGAATTACCCAGACCAAATCCAAACTGGCTTTTGACTATAGTTTACATATATAGTTGGTAGGAGGCTAGAGAGACTTGTATTTTCTCATTTTATTGTACAGTATGTCTTAGTTTCTTCATTCAGAAGAGTATAAAGATGAAAACAGATATTAACTGTAATTTTATTACACAGATAACTCCTTTGACTAAAAAATTAAAATAGAATGTATATTTATGGTAGGAAATTCAGATAGTTCAGCGACTTACATAATGAAAAAGGAAAGCGTCATTCCCTGCCTACTTTCATAATTCCTCTCTCCAAAATTTAATAAGTGGTAACCTGTTAATATTATTTTAAAATACAGTGATCTCCCCTTATCTGCAGGGGATATGTTCCAAGACCTTGAGTGGATGCTTGAAACTGCAGAGTACTGAACCCTATATATATATAACATGTTTTCTTCTATGCATATAGCTATGATAAAGTTTAATTTATAGATCAGTCACAGTAAGAGATTAACAACAATAAAATAGAATAATTATAACAACATATAATAAAAGTTATGTGAATGTTGTCTCTCTCTCTCTCACTTATTGTACTGTACTCCCCCTTCTTGTGATGATGTGAGGTGATAAAATGCCTATGTGATGCGGTGAAGTGAGGTGAATGATGTAGGTATTACGACACAGCATTATACTATAATCGGCCTTCTGATGCTATATCAGAAGGAGGATCATCTGCTTCTAGACCACAGTTGACCATGGGTAACTGAAACCAAGGAAAGTGAAACTGTAGGTGGTGGGAGGGACTACTGTAGCAGCTTTATACAGATACACTTCACATACTCTATTACTTTTTAGATTTTACATAGAAAGTTCACAGTGACCAATCTTTGGTACCTGTTTTTTTATTTTATTAAATAATTTTTCCATGTTAAGACATATAGATCTGTCTTATGTTTAATGGCTATATTCTACTGTGTAATTGGGTTTTTGTCTCTTACAATGTACAGTTAACATGTTGGCTTTTGCAAATTTATGTTAAATGCCTATCAATGCAATTGCTAGGTCAAAGAATACATCCATTTAAATTTTGGTGAATATGACCAGTGCCCCCATAACAAATATTACCAATACCCACATGAAGGGTTGTATGAGTTTATACTTTGACCAAAAATTATTAGTGCTCATTTCCCCACGTTATGACTTTATTTTTTCCAATTTAATAAAAGTATTTACTCATTGTTGGTTTGCTTTGCATTTTCATAATTATGAATAAGGTTGAGCATCTTTTCATTGGCTTTGCATTTTCATAATTATGAATAAGGTTGAGCATCTTTTCATTGGTCATTTGAATTTCTTTTTCTGTAACCTGTCTGCTTGTATTGTTTGCCTATTTTTTCATAGGATTGTTTACCTTTTTTTCATTGATTTGCATAAGTTCTTTGTAAATTATCTCACATAGTTTTACAGTTATGATGTGGCAATTCCTACCATTGGTGTTGCCATTTCTTTATTTGTTCTTTCCTTTTTACCAATTTTCTATTGCTGATCTGGCTTCTTTATACCCAAACCAAACCACAGAGAGGATGAAGATATAAAGAGCCAGGAAACAATGATGGCCACCAAAATCCTTTGGCTTACTAAGGACACAGAATCATACTAGAGAGGCATCCTGGTAACTAAAGGCCCTGTTCTTTGTTACCCTTTGCCCTGTATTGAATAGAAAATCTGACTTGACAATAGAATTAAATATTTAACTTGTAATTTTCTACTGGAAAGGACAGAGAATATTGATAAAACTTCTGTTTTCTTCCTCTAAACTTGGTATAAATTTTAGAGTGGTGTTAAACAATTCTGAGGTTTTGTTCTAAACATTTAGAATTAACCAGACATGTAGTATGTGTTAAACATTTATAATTAACCAGCAGTAATCTTTGATCATGCTATTGATGTCCTTGGATTATTAGAACTGCAGAAGAAATCCTTCTATTTCTATTTGTTAGGAGCTGGACACTGAAACCTTGGGTACGTGTATAGATTTCCAGGTTGTGCCAGGCTGTGGTATTAGCTGTAAAGTCATCAATATTGAAGGCTTGCTACATAAGAATAACTGGACGATAGAGGAAAATAACATTAAAAATGCATCCCTGGTTCAAATTGGCACAAATAATGAACAGTCATCAACTTCCTCTTCCATGATTATTGATGCCCAGCTCTCAAGTAAGCTAATTTTATTTTACTTTATTTTTAAGTTTATCTATTTATTTTGAGAGAGAGAGAGAGAGCGAAAGCACATGTGCGCATGAGAGGGGAAGGGGCAGAGAAAGAGAGAGGGAGAGAGAATCCCAAGCAGGCTTTGTGGTGTCAGTGGGCAGCCTGACACAAGGCTCAATCTCAGGAACCATGAGATCATGACCTGAGCCAAAATCAAGAGTCAGATGCTTAACAGACTGAGCCAGCAAGCTAATTTTCTTCATAGTACCAATTATGGGACAGATATTAACAGACGTCTAACTTTATAATCCTGAACTGTTAGATAAGAAACAAAAATTGGCATCATGGTTTCTTTCTATCAAATAATTTTACCACAGGCCTGATTACTTCACTTGAGTTACTTGAGAACATTTCCCAACTGTGCTCCTTTATTCTACCATATAGAGTGATGAATTCTAGCCTTAGCTGATCTTCTGTCTTAGTTCAGCTATCTTTCATTTCTCAGCACAGCTACTCTAAATCTTTTATATCTTTCATGGGATATGGTGGCCTTCTTCCTAGTTCCCTAAGCAAATTATCTGGATTATTTTTCACATAGAAAATATTTTAATTTTATTTTTTAATATAATTTATTGTCAAATTGGCTAACATACAGTGTGTACAATGTACATCCCAGCAGTTCTCAGTCATTTGTTTTTTTCAACTTTTTGCCCAGAATGATCCCTTTTTTCAGGGGAAGAGGTATCCCTCATCTTGCATAATGAACCCCCTCCTCTTTGCTATAGATCCCACCCTCTCTTGATTCTTCAGGGACCCTACTCTGTTACATCCCATTGCTTCTTTATTTTCCAGCTCTCTGTACTAGCTCCTAAACATCTAAACATTTCTTCCATAAATATTACTATAATCCCTTTTAGATTGCATCCTGTCTGTTTTCCTTTATATCTAAGCTTTTAGAAAGAATAGTCTAGGTTTGCTGAATTCACTTATTCATTGCACACCCTGCCTTCTGCCCCATCCATACTACCGAAACTGTTTTTTCTTAGTGCATTGATTACCTTATTCAGTACCGACTCCAATGGTCTCTTCTCAATCTGTATCCTGCATAACCTCAAATGCCAAAGGTATTTTTTCCTTCCTAAAGCTCTTTCTTCTCTTAATTTCATGACCATTCTTTCTCTAGGTTGTCTTCTCACCTACTTATCTGTTGCTTCCCATCCTCCTCTGTTTCCTCTTATCTTCTGCTCTCAAATTTGGGGTATCCTCAGATACCTCAGTTTTGTTCTTTTTCTTTTTTTCTCATTTTGTATACACTCTCTGTACACTTTCATTCATGTCTATTGCTTGTGCCACCTATAGATTTCTCCTACCATTCCAAATTTATTTATTCCAAAAATCACATCTTTAGCCAAAGCCTATTTTTCTGAGTTTCTGGTTGGTCTATCCATCTGCCCCAAAACATGACATACCCACCTAAGTGTTCTAGCACCTCCCTACCGATTTGTGCTTGAGTGATTTTGCTAACACGCAAATGTGATTATATAACTTTCTGACTAATGCCTTTTATTATAGTGACTTATAACTTATTTTTGAATCGTGAACCTTTGGATGAATAGCTATACCCACCCCTTAGACAATTTTTGTTTTGGAGGTATGCATGTATCTTAAACCCTATCCATGCAATTCTGTTCAGGATCCTGGCCTTACTGGCTGTCTCCTATGGGACAAAGACCAGTCTTTCTGGTCTGTTCCGCATGATATGTCTCCTGCCTCCCTGTACTACCCATTTTGTTTTTTTCCACTGACCTCCATGTACTCTGTTCCATTCATATGAAACCACTTAGAGTTCCTTTTTACATTGTGTCATTTCATGCTTATTAGGTCATTTCATTTACTATTTTCTCTGGGTAATGTCCTTGTCCACAGTGGCATCTACCTCATGAACTTATTTTCATCTGTCAGGACTCAGCTCACATCTCTCTTCAGTGAAGCCTTCACTAACTGACATGTATAGGCAGAGATATTTGCTCTTCTTTTTAAGTCGTAACTGTACTTAGTCTCTGTTTTTGTAGCCGGCACACTGCATGATAACACTTTATTTACATGATAAACAAAATTTATAAATTTACCTATTTATTTATGAATAAATAAAATTTATTTATTATTTGTCTGTGAACTTCCAGTATCAAGCTTACTGACACATAGTAATTTTGTTCATTTGACACCTTTTGTTAAGCACTGTTCAAGACACTAAAGAATCAGCAGTGAGCAGAATAGAAAAAGTCACTATCTTTTGGAGCTTATTATATTCCTGGTGGGAGAACACAAACAGTGAGCAAGTAAATAAGAAAACACAATATGTCTGATAGAGATAGTGCTGTAGAGGAAAATAAAGGGATATAGAAAATACTGGGAGTATTGGATCCTATTTTATATAGGATGATCAGGATAGGCCTCCTTGAGAAGCTGATGCTGGACCAAAAACCTGAGAATGGGGAGAGAGAAGGGGAAGATATCTGTGACAAGAGCATTCCAGACAGGAGGGATGTTAAGTAAAGAAGCCTTGTATGCTAAACTAGTTTGATGAATAGCAAGGAGAACAGTGTGCCTAGAGCAGAGCAAATCAGTAGAAGGAGGGTTAGAGATGAGGTTAGGGAGTAGTATAAGGACATTGAAAGAATTTGGTGTTTACCCTTGAGATGGGAAGCCGTTGGAGAGTTTTGTGCTAGGAATGACAGAATCTGACTTCATGTTTTAAAAGTGTTACGCTAGCTCCCCTGATAAAAATACACTGTTAGGGGAATGGGGCAAAGGGCAGGAGCAGGGAGATGAGTTAGTAGGCTGTTGCTATAATCTAGGTGAAAGATAATAGTGGTTTGGACCAACCAGTGTGGTAACAGTAGAGGTCATAAAGAGTGGTCATATTCTGAATATGTCTTAAAGGGAGAGCTGGCTGAGAGATTTTCTCAGATTGGTTATGGGGTATGAGAGAAATAGCAGTCAAGAATTATGCCCAGGTTTGTGGCCTAAATGATCTAGAAGAATGAAGTTACCATTTAAGTAAAATGGGGAAGGCCACTGGAAGGGCAATATTGGGGAAAACTGATCAGGAGATCAGTTGTTTACATGTTAAATATGAGTACCTATTAAATATTCAAGTGGAGATGCCATATGAATGGACATAACAAGTAGGCAGTTGGCTGCACAAGTCTGGAGTTCAAGGAAAGAGACTAGGCTAGAGACATAGATTTGGGAGTCATCCACTTACAGATCTGTGCCGTTCAATGTGGTAGCCACTGGTTACATGTGACTATTTAAACTTAATTAATTTAAAATTCAGGGATGCCTGGGGCGCCTGGGTGGCTTAGTCGGTTAAGCGTCCGACTTTTGCTCAGGTCATGATCTCGCGGTTCGTGGGTTCGAGCCCCGCGTCGGGCTCTGTGCTGACTGCCAGCTCAGAGCCTGGAGCCTGTTTCAGTCTGTGACTCCCTCTCTCTCTGACCCTCCCCTGCTCACGCTGTCTCTCTCTCTCTCTCCTAGAAATAAAAAAAAAAAAAAAAAAAATTCAGGGATGCCTGTCTGGCTCAGTTAGAAAAGCATGTGATTGACGTCATGAGTTTGAGCCCCACATTGGGTGTACAGATTACTTAAAATAAACACATAAACCTAAAAAATAAATTTAAGATTCAGCCCTTCAACCATACTAGCCACATTTCACTGCTCAGTAGCCACATGTTGTTAATGGCTACTGTATTAAACAGCAGATATAGAACATTTTTAAATTCTGTTAAACAAAGCTGGTAGAGATGGTATTTAGAGCTATGAGACTGGATAAGATCACCAAGGAGTGACAGTAGATAGAGGAAGAAAAATGGTTTAAGGATTGAGCCCTGCAATACTATAGGTTAGGAGATCAGGGAGATCAACAAAGAAGATTGAAAATAAATGGTGAGTGAGGAGGTAACTTACACAAATGTGGTGTCCTAAAATCCAAGGAAAGAAAGTATTTCAAGAAGGAGGGAGTGATCTCCTCTGTTAGATGCTGCTAATAGGGCAAGTAAGATGAGGAACAAGAATTAACCATTAGGTTTATTAAAGTAAAGTCACTGATGTCCTGTGTGAACAATTCTTTGGAGTAGTAGAGATGAAAGTTTTGCTGGCGTAGGTTCACAAGGGAATGGGAAGATATGAATTGGAGATAGTCAATAGAGACTACAATTCCAAGAAGTTTTGCTGTGTGTAGAAGCAGAAAATTGGGGCAGTAGTAAAGACATAGGTGAAATCAAGGGAGGTTTTTTTTTTTAAGATAGGACTGTGTGGAACAGAGAAAATTAGATTATCCAAGAGGAAGAGGAGAGAATTGTTGGGGAGGTGTTCTAGAATAAGCAAAGGAAGGGAGTCTAGTGCATAACTGGAGTTTGGCCTTAAAGAGGAGCAGGGGCAGTTTATAATAACGGAAGGGAAGTTAGATTAATGTGTACACAGGCACAGTAGTTGGTTAGATATGGCAGTGAGAGCTTGTAGAAGTTTTAATTGCAATTAAAATGGACACTGAGTTAGGATGATGAGATTATAGATATTATTGCTTTCAGTTTTTTCTGAAGTAGGAAGCAGGTATCTGGCCATATATGAGAATGAGAGAAGAGAAGGTATAAAATAGCCCTCTAGAAGGAGAAGGAATGGAGACTGTATGATTTCATACAACCATATTCAGCTGATGATGCACAATATATATTTTGAATTTAATTTGGTTGTGTGGAAGATCAAAGGGAAATCTTTACCAAGAAAGTAACATTTGAACTGGCTCTTGAAGAATATGATAGAATTTGATAATTGGAGAGGAGGGGTAAGGACTTTCCAGGTGGAGGCAGCAATATGTGCAAAGGTGCAAAGGCATGGAAAAGCTGCATATATTCCTTGAAAATTTGGAAATCACTGTTGTAGGCTGTGGTCTACCAAAAATACAACATAGCAACTATGTAAGGTTAGACAGGAAGAATGTGCCTCACAGCGTTATTATCAATATTAAACGAGCTCACTAAATGCTGTTTCTGTACTTTATTCAGATGTTCTTAATGCTCAACAGTACAAAGTCCTCATTGGTAACCGGGAGTGGATGATTAGAAATGGTCTTGTCATTAATAATGATGTAGATGATTCCATGACTGAACATGAGAGAAAAGGTCGGACTGCTGTATTGGTGGCAGTTGATGGTAAGATTTTCCATAAGTACATGATAACTCAAATTAGTGATCTCAGTTATTATTTTATGTATATTTTTGAGAGACTTCTGAACTTGAGGGTTATTCAAAAGCAGCCTAAATGAAAAGTGAAAATGTTAGCAATACATAATTATTACTGATTAATTTAGAATTCTCTTGCATTTGCCTGGCTTTGTTTTTTTTCTCCATAGGCTAGCCTATGTTTTAAAAAAATAATTAAGGATTGTTTTAAGACCTAAAAATAATATAGCACTAGAGTAATAGCAAAATATAATAATACCTATAATCTCATCATCCTAACTCAGTGTCCATTTTAATTGCATGTATTCCATTTCTGAGTTTTGTGGGTATGTGTGTATTATATGTAATACAATATATGTACAAAATTATAATAGTACATATATACCATTTTTAAGTGGGTGTGTTTTGCATATAAACTTAAAACTTTTATGCATATAAAAGTTAAAATTCCTTGTACACATACTATTTTATTTTTCTTTATTCATTTGCTGTTCATAATTATTTTGCAATTTTAATTCTGCATAATTTATTATATACTGTTATTAACTAAGTCATTCCCTTGTTGGAAATTTAAGCTATTCCTAATATTTCATTATTATAAATAACACTATGATGAACATCTCTGAGGTTTTAGGGGCTTTCTTTTGTTAAATTATTTCTTAGGGAAAATTTCTGTGAGATTAATTAGTCAACATTTATAATCTTTGCTAAGTATGAAGGCAGTATCTTAACTGTGACCTTAACTTGGTCCAGGAAGAAGCATAAAATACCATTTACTTTTGTTTTTAAAAATAAAATAAAATAAAATAATTACTTGCAGTGATTTCTTTCCCCCAGTTATAAAATGCTACTTTTATCTCAATCCTCCCCTTTAACGTTAAAAAGAAAAAAAAGTATTAGTTTTCAGTTTAATTTGCCTTTAAATGAACTAAAGTATTTGGGCCTATTGGCTGGTACTTCTCAAAGGAAAGAAAAAGAATCTTTTAGTATCCAATAAGGTCTCTCTTTTCATTTTCCTATTACTGCCTTCATTAGTAGTCCCTGTGTCACTCTGAAATTTTCACACCTAAATGTGGAAGTTTGTCACAGGTTTTGTGGAATACAGTCTGTGTGGGCTTGGAGACATTTTGAGTTAAGCTAAGCCTTGAACAACTTCACTTAACAAAATTAACTTTTCTCAAATTTTAAGTTAGACTATTATTCTGCTTCCACCATATTCCAAACTCTCTTATTTTCTGGTGCTCCTTTATTAGATGAGCTGTGTGGCTTGATAGCTATTGCTGATACAGTGAAGCCCGAAGCAGAATTGGCTGTCCATATTCTGAAATCCATGGGCTTAGAAGTAGTTCTGATGACTGGAGACAACAGTAAAACAGCTAAATCTATTGCTTCTCAGGTAATTGCTTTACATAGTTGTTAGGGTGGGGGTATGTAGTAACTTTTCTGATTCTTTTGTTTTTAATTTTTTTTTTTTTATTTATTTCTAGAAGAGAGAGAGAGACAGTGTGAGCAGGGGAGGGTCAGAGAGAGAGGGAGTCACAGACTGAAACAGGCTCCAGGCTCTGAGCTGGCAGTCAGCACAGAGCCCGACGCGGGGCTCGAACCCACAAACCGTGAGATCGTGACCTAAGCGAAAGTCAGACGCTTAACCGACTAAGCCACCCAGGCGCCCCTTTTTCTGATTCTTTATATACATTTTGTTTCTTGCTTTCAAGTGCTGAGAAAATCATATGACCTATTGCTTTCCTTATCACGGAGTATTGATATTTGATTCCTTAACAGTTGGCATGCTGTGTGGGAAGACTTTGGGCTTTGTGTGTTACTAAAAAGCCATTTACCAAATCCATGAGATGCTTCAGTGACACCATACACCAGTTTCTGTTGATACTTCCTTTGAAATGTTACTCATATTCTTTTCCAGCGCTGCCAGCCTAAGCCAGGCTCTCAGGTGCTCAATAACTCATGCCTAAAATACAGCAAAGTCTCCAGGCACTTCCCTCTCTAGTCCATCCTGAACATCACTGGTGGAATCATCTCCTAATGTACCATTTTGACATGGTTTTCTGCTACTGACCCCCATATTTGCCTTACCTGCAGAACTTTGCTCATATTAGTCTTTTCTACTTCAGAATGCCTTCTCCCCTCTTCTATTAAATAACACAAGTAATATATGAAAACATTCTTATATATAAAATGCAGGAGGAGGGGCGCCTGGGTGGCTCCGTTAGTAAGCATCCAACTTTTGCTTAGGTCATGATCTCACAATTGATGAGTTCAAGCCCTGCATCAGACTATGCTGACAGCTTGGAGCCTGGACCCTGCTTTGGATTCTCTCTCTCTCTCTCTCTCTCTCTCTCTCTCTCTCTCTCTCTGCCCCTCCCCCACTCGTGCTCTGTCCTTTTCTCTCAAAAATAAAAAAAAATTAAATTTTAATGCAGAAGGATATAAATTAAAAAGTTTAAGTTACCCTTTTCCCAAACTTCCAGTCCATTCCTACCCCCAATTTTTCATATACATGTGTGTTCATATACAAATGTATAGTTCTGGTATTTTCAGCATAAATTACATCATTTTTCTACAGATTGTTCATTCAGCACTTTGTGCTTTTTTTATGTTTATTTTTATTTATTTTGAGAGACAGAGAGAAAGAGTGTTGACACCCACAGGGGTGAGGGAGAAAGGCAGGGAGAGGGAAAGAGAGAATCCCAAGCAGGCCTCACTCATCACGGAGTGACATGGGGCTGGATCTCACAACGGTGAGATCATGACCTGAGCTGAAGTCAAGAGTCGGACGCTTAACTGACTGAGCCACCCAGGTGCCCCAGCACTTTTTTCTTTCCTTTCCTTTCCTTTCCTTTTTTTTTTTTTTTTTTTAACAAAACAACATATATGCCTTGGAACTTTGTCCGTATCTGAACAAAGTTATTTTATTCTTTCAAAATTACTGCATGGAATTCTATGGTATGAGTATGTCATAATTAACCATTCATCTAATAATGGGTATTTAGCTGATTTTTGAAAATTTTGTTGTCACAAACAGGGCAGTAATGTACATCCATAGATATACATCTTTTTAGGAGGGTGGTTTTTCACAGTGCTTTCATTCTGTATTTATCAACTGTAGTTCCAGTGTAGTTAACATATAGTGTTATATTAGACTCAGGTGTACAACATAGTGATTCAACAGTTCTATACATTATTACTCAGTGCCCATTATGGTAAGTGTACTCCCCTTCACCTATTTTATCCATCCCCCCCACCTAACTCCCCTTTGGTAGCTATTAGTTTGTACTCTATAGTTAAGAGTCTGGTTTTTGGTTTGTGTCTTTCCTTGTTCATTTGTTTTGTTTCTTAAATTACACAAATGACTGAAATCATGTTATATTGGTCTTTCTCTGACTGACTTATTTCACTTAGCGTCATATTTTCTAAATTCATTCATGTTGTTGCAAATGGCAAGATTTCTTTTTTTTTTTTTGGATTTAACAGTTTATTATGATTTATAAGTGTCATTTTAAAAACATCTGTCCATTAAACCATGTAGAAATAAGTATGCAAAAAGTCTGCAAAACAAAACATACTTTAAACATGTTTAAGTAGAGGGATTATTTGAAATTTCGGATTTTACAGTCCCTTCGTTATCATGCTATTGCAGCCAAGTAATCCTTAACTTAAATTGGAGTAAGCCTCCTGAATCCGGCTTCATTGCAGATTCCAACCTCAATGTTGTCTTCTGTCATCTGCCCTTCAAAGCTTTCCTTTAGGGTTAATATGGCTGTATGAATGGCATCTTCAAGTTCCAGGTCTTCATTATATCTTTTTTCCAAGAAAGTCTTCCCATTCACATAGTTCTTTCCCATTGCTGTGGCTTTCCACGCAAAGTAAGCTCCAGATGGATCTGACTGAAATAAATACGGTCGCCACTCATTCCAACCACAAATTAGTAAAGAAACTCCAAATGGACGAACACCACCTGACTGAGTATATTCTTGCATCACAGAAGCTACTCTCTGTACCAGATGAGCTGTGGGAATGGGTTCTTGGTACACGAGATAGTACTGCTGAGCTAGTTTTCGAGCTCTGTGCACAAGCACTCTGTAATCTGGGCCCATGCCGCTATACACCAAGCCTATATGCTTGGTGATTGGTTCCACTTTGTGTACACTTCGCTCGTCATACAGAATGGATTTCTGTTTCTTCTCGGTTGCTAATACCACACCATTTGCAGCTTTAATTCCCACTGAAGGGGCTCCTACAGCTACAGCAGCCAAAGCATATTCAATCTGGACAAGTTTACCATATGGGCTGAAACTGGTCAGCGAAAAGCTGTAACCGCGCTCCGCCATCTTTCCCCGGAGTGCCCGCAAATGGCAAGATTTCATTCCTTTTCAAGACTAATACACCACTGTATATATGTATGTATGTGTATATATACATACCTGTATATACACACACACACACACACATATACATATGTACACATACATTCACACACCACATTTCGTTATCCATTCATCTATCAATAGACACTTGGGCTGCTTCCATATATTGGCTATTGTAAATAATGCAGGAAAAAACAGCAGTGCATTTATCTCTTTGAATTCATGTTTTCATATTCTTTGTGTAAATACCCAGTAATGGAAATAATTGAATCATATGGTAATTCTATACTTATTAATAGTTTATTGTCAAGTTGGTTTCCATATACCACCCAGTGCTCATCCACACAAGTGCCCTCCTCCATGCCCATCACGCCCCTTTTACCCTTAGTTTCTTCTCGGCATTCAAGAGTCTCTCATGGTTTGCCGCCCTCCCTCTTCCCCCCCCATTTTTCTACACTTCTTCTCCCCCACTGTCCTCCGTTAAGTTCCTCCTAATAGTCCTATATGTGCAAGCATATGGTATCTGTCCTCTGCCTGACTTATTTCGCTCACCATAACACCCTCAAGGTCCATGCATGTTGCTACACATGGCCAGATTTCATTCTTTCTCATTGACATGTAGTATTCCATCGTATAGATAAACCACATCTTCCTGATCCATTTGTCCGTTGATGGACACTTAGGTTCTTTCCATGTTTGGGCTATTGTTGAGAGTGCTGCTATGAATATTGGGATCCCTGTGGCCCTATACATCAACACTCCTGTATCCCTTGGGTAAATTCCTAGCAGTGCTATTGCTGGGTCATAGGGGAGTTCTAGTGTTAACTTTTTGAGGAACCTCCACACTGTTTTCCAGAGGGGCTGCACCAGTTTACATTCCCACCAACAGTGTAGGAGGGTGCCCGTTTCTCCACATCCTCGCCAGCATCTAGAGTCCTCTGATTTGTTCATTTTAGCCACTCTGACTGGCGTGAGGTGGTATCTCAGTGTGGTTTTGATGTGTATTTCCCTGATGAGGAGGGATGGTGAGCATCGTTTCATGTGTCTGTTGGCCATCTGGATGTCCTCTTTGGAGAAGTGTCTGTTCATATCTTCTGCCCGTTTCTTCACTGGGTTGTTTGTTTTTCAGGTGTGAAATATGGTGAATTCCTTATAGATTTTGGATACTAGCCCTTTATCTGATATGTCATTTGCAACTATCTTTTCCCATTCCATCTGTTGCCTATTAGTTTTATGGATTTTTTCTGTGCCATGCAGAAGCTTTTAATCTTGATGAGGTCCCCATAGTTCATATTTGCTCTTGATTCCCTTGCCTTTGGGGACGTTTCAAGTAAGAAATTGCTGTGGTTGAGGTCAAGGAAGATGTTTCCTGCTTTCTCCTCTAGGGTTTTGATGGTTTCCTGTCTCACATCCAGGTCCTTTATCCATTTTGAGTTTATTTTTGTGTATGGTGTGAGAAAATGATCTAGTTTCATTCTTCTACATGTTGCTGTCCAGTTCTCCCAGCACCATCTGTTAAAGAGGCTGTCTTTTTTCCATGGAATACTCTTTCCTGCTTTGTCAAAGATTAGTCGGCTGTACATTTTTGGGTCAAAATCTGAGTTCTCTATTCCATTGGTCTAAGTGTCTGTTTTTGTTCCAATACCATACTGTCTTGATGATGTCAGCTTTATAGTAGACGCTAGAGTCTGGGATGGTGATGCCTCCCATTTTGGTTTTCTTCTTCAGTATTACTTGGGATCTTTTGTGGTTCCATACAAATTTTAAGATAGTTAGTTCTAGCTTTGATAAGAAATCTGATGCAATTTGGATTGGGATTGCATTGAATGTGTAGATTGCTTTGGGTAGTAATGACATTTTAACTATATTCTTCCAATCCATGAGCATGG